AAAGGTCTGACATTTACTGCAACTCCCAGGACTTTGGACATCATGTGGAATAAAAGATTGAACTCTTGTTTTAGAATTAGGGGCCTTGAGCTTGGGGTAGCCTCTCTTCCACTCACAGGCAGTGAGTGCTGCTGTGAGTAGGTTGAAAGTGAGTCTTTCCATGAGCCTCACCTCATGTGCAGTAGACTTAGACCAGTGTGAGGTTTACTGAAGTGTATGGAGTAGGCATTTTGACTTGATGCCTATTACCTGCTATTATGATATAGTCACTGGCGCAGTCTTCCCCCCCCATGGAGTATCTAGTGGTGTTTAAGAAAAAGAGGTCATGTGCAGGTGATTGCTCAGAGGTTCTGCACATGATTAAGATTTCAGAAAGTTGTGTCTTCCAAGCATATGGTGTCAGGGGTGCTTCTCTATTATAGTGTTACTAGAGTCCCGGTGCATGACATTTATGCACTGCGGGAGGAGGATGCCCTCAGCCCGACCTGCACCCTCTCACAGTCTGGCACCCCTCGGGGGATGTCAGACTACTGGATTAGGCCCGCTCCCCATGGCAATCGGACATCCCCCGAGGGTCCTTAGCACTACCGCAGAGGCAGGAGAGGCTCCAGCCACTGCTGCTGCACTTGCCAGCCATGAGCCCAGCTTCTGGCTGAGCGGCGCTCCCTCTGTGGGAGTGCACTGACCACCAAGGGGCAGCTCCTGCATTGAGTGTCTGCCCCCTAGTGGACGGTGCATGTCATAGCGACCAGTTGTTCTGCTGTTTGGTTGATTTGCATATTAGGGTTTTATTATATAGGAATAATGATGACACCTAGAATAAATTATTGGATTATCAGGGGTCCTCAAACTACGGCCCGCGGGCCAAATGGGGCCCGCCGAAAACATTTATCTGGCCCACCGGGTGTTTTTGCCGCCGCTGTGTGCATAGGAATTTGTTCATAGCTTTTTTTTTTAACTATAGTCCGACCCTCCAACGGTCTGAGGGACAGTGAGTTGGCCCCCTGTTTAAAAAGTTTGAGGACCCCTGGATTAAATGGTCAAATTACTTAATTCAGAAAAAGAAAAGTATGTAATTTTCTTAAAGCTCCCCTACCTATAGTTATAGCATGATTTAATTTTTTAATTTTCCCTCTTTAGGTCTCTTAGCTAACAGGAAAATTCTGAGTCTAATTTTAGTCACTTTGAAACTACATGTATGTATAGTAGCTGCAACTAACAGGTGATAAAATATGACCAATGAGAAGGCCTTCCTCATTTGGTCTTCCTGTCCTCATTTGGGGACTAATGTACTCATTCATAAATTTACCTGTCCTTGACTTTCAGGACTTGAGTAATTTTACAGATGATATTTTGTGGAACCCTTTATATAATCCCCTCCCACCCCGACCTGACCTTTTAAGACAGGGGCTGTGAGCTGTTCTAGCCCATTGTCAGGCAATTGCATTTTTTGTTTGTCTGTGTCCCTGACTTGACTGTAAGCTTGTGGGAACCAGGAATTGTGTCTCATTTGTAGCTGTGGGTCCAGGCCCTTGTGGCACCTAAATAAATAGGCTTTTTTTTCTTTTTCTTCTGAGTGGTGCACATTTAATGAAAAAAAGCTTTCATTTTAATGTATAAGTTCTGGTAAATTTGTGAAAATTATATCAAATGAGAAAACATTCTTTATGCACATTTCTTCCAACACATATATCTAATGGTCTTTTTCTTTTTCTTTTTCTTTTTGGTCTTTTTTTTTCTTTATTGATTAAGGTATTACATATGTGTCCTTCCCCCCCCCCCGTGTGCGCTCATGGCCTCACCTTCCTGGTCTCTGTGTTCATTGGTTAGGCTTATATGCATGCATACAAGTCCTTTGGTTGATCTATCCCTCTTACCCTCACCCTCCCCTACCTTCCCTCTGAGGTTTGAGCATCTGATCG